TGTCCTTGGATGACACTTAATCTCTTAGTTGATGAGGTACAGCGGGTAGGAGCCAAGCAAAATAATCAAACAAAATACGCTCCCGTGGACAAAACTCCCCTTTAATGGGTTGGTCGCACTAGCTGACCTAACAAGATGATCGTTCTCTGCTGTGACCCACTGGGAGTGACCGGAACCTGTATCGTAGTTTTCGACGATGCAGGCAACGGCTGATGTGAGCTTGCTCTGCCGAGGTGTAAGTTGCAGCAGTGGATCAGGAGCCAACTACTTCGGGCCTTGATCAGGAAGTACGCAGTGAGTGTTAGAGATCGGAATCTTCACCGCTCCGAGCGAGTCTAGTCCGTCCGTGTATTCCGGGACTGGCTAAGTGTCGGCTAGGCCTCAGGGGACTGGGGTAGGAGTTCTATCTCCGAGGGTACACCCGTTCCTAGTTATGGCAACCCGCTCCACTCCGTACGATGCGCTGGTAAATTAAAAAGTATGACTCATCACTGATGGCCTATTTCAGAGTAAACACACATACAAATCTTGTTAAAAAGATGCAACACGATTAAGTGCGTTAGTGTTGGCCTATTTTAGAGTAAACACACATACAAATTTTAAGTGATGTCTCCTGGTGGGTAATCGGAAGTTGGGATCCAGGAGCGAAGCCCCGGTAGGGGTTTGGGAAACTCAGATGAAAGAGAAGGGTCTCACGCTGGGAGAATTTAACATTTGAAACAGTAAAAATTATTCTTTTAAAATATACATTCTACCAGTCCAAGCAAGTCAATAATTATAGTTTGATTTTTAGCGTTGCGTTTAAAATTTACCATTTTACTCTGTAAATATTGACGTTGTCGAGGAGATGGACACAGGTGGCGAGGGTGACGTCGAGTCAGTTGTCGAAGACGGAGAGGAAACTGGAACTGATATCAGGCCCGGGAAAAGGAAGGAACGAAATTCCCCAGACTCAATGACCAGCCGTACTAAGAACAAGAAGGACCTTAAACCAAGTCCTCCAAAAAACGCGGTAACACAGAACGGCGGAAAAAAAGAGGTGGATGAATGGTAAAAAGTCCAGTCAAGGAAGTCCAAGAGAGAGCAAGCAGAAGAAAAGCTCCAGAAGCAATCGCCGAAGGAGTCCAAGCCAGAGCCTAATCGAAAAAAACCGCGCAAACGGATCAGGCCGGACGCGCTGATCATCCGCCCCGCAGAGACGGCAAAGTATGCTGAAATTCTGAAGCGAATACAGCAAGACGTCCCTGACGAACAGGTCCGTACTACAGTGGATAAGATCCAAAGAACTAGGACCGGGAGCTTGCTGATTACGCTTTCGAGGAAGAGTACTGACCGAGGCCAAGCCTTCCAGGAGACCATCGCGGACATCCTCCAAGAAGACGCGAAGGTAATCTGCAAAGGACCACAGGAAGACGTCGAAATCCGAGATCTTGACGGTACCACAACCAAGGAGGATATTCAGGCTGCCTTGCAAACGGAAATCGGAGAAACCTGCGAGATACCACTAGGGACAATTAAGATTCATAAGGCCTACAAAGGTACTCAGACAGCTGTTGTGACACTACCAGCAGCTGCAGCGCAGAAGATATTGACAGGAAGCGGTAAAGTCCGGATCGGCTGGGCTAACTGCCGAATCAGAGCTACGAGGAGACCAATCCAATGTTTCAAGTGCTGGCACTTTGGACACCTTGGATCCCAGTGCAAGAGCAATGTGGATCGGTCTAAGCTATGTATTAGGTGCGGACAACAGGGACACAAGATAGCTGAATGCGAAAACCGAGCGAAATGTGTATTATGCGCGGATCAAAGTAGGGAGAACTCGGCTCATCATGCCGGCGCATCCAGGTGCCCAGATTAAAATAGAAATTTAAAATATTAGTAATTAAAATAATCACACACTTTATAAAATAAATAAAAGTAAAAGTTTAATATTAAAAAAAAAAAAAAAACGATATAATTAGATAACTTTAAAATTTATCAATTATAAATATAGGCATTGGATAAAATAAAATAGACTAAATTCAGAGAAGTCAGTAAAAAGACATTTGAATATTTATATTAATAAAAATATTGATAGTTATTAATATATAAATTCTTAAAAAATAGACATCTTAATATAAAAATTATTTGAAGAGTACAAAAAAAATGTCAATTTCTACTTTCTACTTTCAATATTATTTAAAAATCAAGTACAGTGCGCGTCATTGATTCGTACCGGTTAAAACATTTTAAGGTAAAATAGAAAAATTAGAATTTTGACATCTGTAAATAAAGAAATCAATAAAAGAAAAATCTTTATAATGATCAATTTGGACAAAGTTGAAAAAATAATTTACTAAAAATAAATAACTCAAAATATCAATCACGATTAAAATAGAAATGAAAAATATTAGTAATTAAAATAATCACACACTTTATAAAATAAATAAAAGTAAAATTTTAATATTAAAAAAATAAGACAACGATATTATTCGATAATTTTAAAATTTATCAATTATAAATATAGGCATTGGATAAAATATAATAGACTAAATTCAGAGAAGTCAGTATAAAGACATTTGAATATTTATATTTATAAAAATATTGATAGTTATTAATATATCTAGTCCATATTTATAGATGTCTATTTTTTAAGAATTTATATATTAATAACTATCAATATTTTTATAAATATAAATATTCAAATGTCTTTTTACTGACTTCTCTGAATTTAGTCTATTTTATTTTATCCAATGCCTATATTTATAATTGATAAATTTTAAAATTATCTAATAATATCATTTTTTTTTAATATTAAACTTTAACTTTTATTTATTTTATAAAGTGTATGATTATTCTAATTACTAATATTTTTAATTTCTATTTTAATCATGATTGATATTTTGAGTTATTTATTTTTTCAATTTTGTTCAAATTGATCCTTATAAAGATTTTCCTTTCATTGATTTCTTCATTTACAGATGTCGAAATTTTGATTTTTCTATTATACCTTAAAATTTTTTAACCGGTAAGAATCAATGACGCGCACTGTAGATAAATAAAAAGTATTCTAAGAACTTATGGTTATAGAGTATTCTTTTGTTTTGTTATATCATTTTTTTAATTTGTTATTCGATCACGATGATATAATTTTCATTACATTTTACTACCTTCGCTTGCTTGGTTTCTATGGTGTTATAAGTAAATATATAATAACATTTTCATCAGTATCGATAAAAAACAAGTTTTGCTGATAAAGTGAGCTTAAATTTCATCAATCATAAGTGTCATTAATTTTTTTTTTGTTTTACAAATTAATAATATATTTATGTGGATTTAAGTTAAAACATTTCCATTTATTTATCAATTACGTAATACTCTTATTACATCGACGATGATTTTCACAAATGAAATGATGGCAGAAGCAATCGGTGAAATTTATTTTGGTTGTAATATTAGCCTTAAAATTGATGGACTACTTTCATCGTCTCGATGGTTCAAATCTTCACCATTAATTACGGCTTGTAAAAAAATTTTACCTACTTCCTCAAACGACCGAACAGTCCAAGCGCATGTGAACAAATTCTGGTCCCGATTGCATAACAATAGGGAAATTATTACACAGTTAATGTTATCACAAGTTAATGAAATTTGGAAAAATTTTTTTTTTTTTAAATCCGAGCGCAAAAATTTATTTTTAATTTTGTTTTTTTTTTTTTCAATTTCACTGTTAATGAAGATAAAAATAATAAAAAACAATTTTTTTGAGACTATTGCGAACTTCTTAAATATTAACAATTGAAATAACGAAGCTTTCTTCGGTAATTTTTTTAAAACTTTGATTGATTCATATGAAAAATTGGTTAATGGACCATTCTGCAAATCAACTAAGTTATTTAACGTCCCAAAAATAGTAGCAAAGATGCAGTTTCAAAATTTTCAATAGAAAACATAAGCAAAAGATTTAAGAAGTCTCTTCTTAGATTTTTTCTTAATAAACTTAAAAGAAATATTCGGCTGCCCAATTTCAAAACACAGTAATTAGCATTTGAAAATTGTTTTCAATTATTCTTATTAAAAAGAAGTTTGCCCGCCAAATAAATGAAAAATTTAATTTATGAATGGAAAATACTTAAATATAAATATTTTTAGCAAAAATTATTTGAAGTTAAAGTCCTAAAGTTGTAAAAAATGCAGCAATACTAGAAAAAATCAGATATTAAAATTTTGCATTTACTGTGTTTGAAAATTGGGCAGCCGTATTTTTTGTTAGCCTTTTTTAAAGGCGTTGTACAAAAAATAGAAGCAAACTAGCCCCTTAACTCTTCATAAAACTTTGGTCAAATTACAGTAATTCATTTTGGCAGAGATTTCAAAAAATTTGAAATTTTCGACAGCAGTGACTGAGTGAACAATTGTTTACAGCAGAAAAAAAATTGTAGCTTTAAGAGTTCAATTATCAGTTTCGGCCATGAACATTTTTTATTATTTACAGTTCTGTTGTAATTTTACGAAAACAGCCGAAAAAAAAATTTTATAAGTTTTAGCTCGTCCTTAAAAAAGATTTACTGGCTTGAATAAATTTTTTTTCAATAATACTACTATAGAGATTTTTTTTTTAATTTTAATGATGTCTATTTTCACCTTATCAAGAAGTAGGTCCGATGATTTGGTGTGGAGTTATTTATTTTTATTTTTTATTTAATTTATTGCATTAAACAATAAACAGTTACAGAACTTGTTTTTAGCCAGGGGGAATTACAATAACGATACATTATGAAGTAATAGCTAAAATCTCATGTACAAAAACAGCGCTAAAATTTAAAGAAAAAGAAAAATAAACATTACTGAAAGCAGAGTGGAAATAGATCAGTTATTTAACTAAGACAACAGTACACTTTTTTTTTTCTCTTTTTTTTTAGTTGACCACAAATTAACTGGAAAATAGTAAAAGAGGAAAATAAGAAAATAAGAAAATAAGAAATTATCAGGAACACTATCTTAGTTTTTAGTTTAAGAAATCACAGATTTAGAGCCCAGGCTCTTAGCTTCATTGTTGTCTCCACGTTGTTAACAATCGCATACAGTTCTTTGGGAGTTGATGATGTTAGTAGCTTGTTGATCGATCCCGACTTTTGAAGTGGCTCTTGGATGAGAGATTGTCTTATGGCAGAGAACATGGGACAAGTACACAGGAAATGTCGTAGGTTGTCTTCTTCTTGCATATTACCCAGTGGACACTGATTATTTGGCGAAAATTTAATTGAGTGCTTTTTCAAAGTTAAGTAGCAGTTGTATTTATTGGCAAGTCTCAATTGCACGAGGATGCATTTCGTTGAAAGCGGCAGCTTTAGTAGCAGGTATTTGGCTGGCGAGTACTGATCCGGCCTTGAGAGAGGAAATTCAAGCGAGCTGGAGGATCTTGAAGCACTTATGTCCCTGTTCATGATCATTCGTGGTTTGTAAATTGTGGCGTAGAAGGCATTCCACTTGTTCGCTGGTATTTCACATTGTGCTCCTCTCCTAAAGCTGAATTTTTTCACCGCAGCCCAGAAGTTGGTAGGCTCAGACGCATTGGCAAAAGCATTTTTAATGATCTGCATATGAGCTTTCTTTTTTTCCTGACAAAGATTTTTGTAAATACTCTTGGAATTTGCAACTTCCTGGCGCGCGTTGATACTAAATTGCTCTTTTTTGCAATTACGGAGAGCTTTACGGAAGTTTTTTTTAGCCTCTTTGCAGGTTTTGTCAAACCAAGGGTTGCGTGGGGCTTTTTGACGATCCGTAGAACATGAGGTTTTTATGAATCCTGCCTTCTCAGCAGCAGAGTGTATAGTGCCAATGAGCCAGTTGTAGATTGTGTCAGTTGAATCCGCCGTGATGTTTGGGAGATTTTGAAAACTTAGCAAGTTGTTTTGATAAGACTGTTTGGACTCTTCAGACCAGATGATTTTCTTTGTTTTGCTTGGAGAAGATTGAGAAAAGCTGTCGTCCCGGTGCTCAAAGTCCTCAGTCTGGATAGTCAACCGGACGGGTCTATGGTCTGAAAGGGAAGGTTCCAGCACTACTTCTAAATCAACTATTAGGTGAAGCGATGAGATGTCAGTCCAAACTAAGTTGATAATTGAAGTACCCAGGTTATCGTAGGTTGGCTGAGCTGGAGAATCACCAGCTGTTCTACCATTTAGAAGCACAAAATCGTTTTCAAGCATAAAATCCATGAGTAAGCGTCCTCTGTCACATATTAATTCATCTGTCGTGGTTACTGACGAGTTTAATGGGAGCCCTGAAAATAGTTCTTCAGGCCAAGGGCTTAGAGAGCCAACTCTGGCATTCAAATCGCCACCAATGATAAAAGTGTCGTCAGTGTGAGTAGATTTAATGCCATCTAGTACTTCCTGCAACATGTCGAGTAGGAAACGTAGATCAAGACATTTTCTAAGATAAAGTGAACCCAGGATCAGCACTGTAGATCCAATTATTACTTTATTGAAGATCCACCAGGGTGAGTCTTCCACAAGAAATGATCTGTAGTTTGCGTTGATTGCTGTAATTAGACCTCCACTGGCTCTTCCGACTGAGTGATTCCTGATGGCATTCGACCAGTATATATTGTAATTGACAAGGAATGTAGGTGAGTAGGGTTTAGTGATCCAGGTTTCACAGGCTGCTATGATAGTGGAGTTGCCGATGAGCGAGCTATATTGGAGATTTGAAAATCCGTGTAAATTCCAGAACGTTATTTGTGTTGTTTTTGGTGTACCGTTGTCTAGTTCTGTAAAAAATTATTTGTCTCTGCGTTCAGTGCCGGAATAAGAGTGCTTACGGATCTTGGCTGGGGTACAAGAGCATTCTTAGAGTCATCCCATAAGTATACTAGATCATTCGTTTCAATCCTATTGCCTTTTCTGCTGAATTTAGTGCCTTCGTTCGACAATTGCTTGTTCTTTGTTCTTACATGCCAATCTACTGTTCTTTCTTTAGCGGTACGATCTGGGTTAATGAAAATTTTTGTTCCTGCTAAAACAGTTTTTTTGTTTTTGAGAATGTGTGCTTTCAGTTCAAGGTCAAACAAATTTACAATAATCCGCTTTGAGTATTCTTTCAGAGTAATATTATTGCACTTTATTCCGAATTTAGAGACGAGGAGGTTTTTGATCTCGGAGATATGGTTACTGGTGGAAAAAGTGTACCAAGTAATAGAGATGTTCGTTTTTTTGTTTTCTTTTTCCAGTGAGATAACCTTGTTTGTGAGGTACGAAATTTGTTTGTTAACTGGGCTTTTGATACATGCATTGAGATTAGAGGAAGACGGGTCTGATAAAATTGAGCTTAGTTGGTCCATTGTGACCGTATTTTTTTCTAACTCTGCAATGCGACTCGACAGTTCCCTCTTGGTTGTCGAGTATTCATCTTCCAGCCTTTTGAGTCCTGTTTTTATTTCCTTAAAAGAAGCCTGGTCTCTTTTGAAATTATCTTGCAGATTTTCTTTAATTTCCTTAAGCTTCTCCTCCTGACTAGCTCTGAGAGCAGCAATTTTTATAAGAATTTGCTCCATGCTTGAGGTCTGACCTGTGCCAGCCTGATTGGCAGAAGTTGGAAACATGCTGAATTTTTTAGGGGTTCTGGGATCAAGATCAGAGTCGTCGGATTGCTGGAGATCTTCCAGGGATCTTTTTCTCTTCGTTTCCACGGTGAAGTTCGTGATTAGGGTGCACGACTGGCTAGCAGTAGCCAGTAATTGCCGGTTAGTTGGCCTTCCTGGCTTTGGAGTTGTAATTAATGGTGTTTTTGTTTGTAAGTTACCGACGGCTGTAGGCGTGCTTGGAAGAGTGGGCGAGATGCTCACATCAAGCCCAGAGATGGCGTTGGAATTCATAAGGCATGAGCCGTGTTAACTGAGACTCCAAACCCTAACCTTGATGCACCCCAACAGACAAAAAATTGGAGAAATTTTAAAAAAGCTCAATTATATCACGTAGCCACTATGTTAAAACAAAAGATCTTTTTTTTGCACGTCAATTATGATCATACACTTAAAAAAATATAACGATTAACTGTAGTTACAAAATAAAATTTAGAGAGCACACAAAAAAAGCGTCTTTCCACTACAACGGTTCAGTGGCGCCCCATTTGGTGTGGAGTTATCGTCGATCTAAGTTAAAAAGTCTTTTTAAAAATTAATAGTAAATAATTTGAGAAATAATGATCGTTTAGAGAATTGAAGCTGAGTTTTGAAAACTGCAAATCATTCTTTATAATATAATATAAGTGACTTTGGATAAATTTTTTACATATAACAATGTTAATTTAAAGTAGTTCCTGCATAAAATAATGCCATCAAAGAGCTTTTCACTGATTTGTCCGAAGGTTGATACTATTGCCAAATCATTATTTACTATAAAATTACTATATCAGTGACAAAAAAAATTATTTTAATTATTATATCTAAACAATTAAATAATCAAGTACTCTGTTCATTAATAAATTAAAGAAATATTGTATTTTAGTTATGCTAATTTATTTTCAATTATTTCAAGGAATTTTTTTAATAAAACAGAGAATATTTGAGATGTCAGAGAGTTTTACATGTTTTAAATGAAAGTGGACCTGAAAATCGCGAATTTAGTTATAAAATATCTTCCTTTCTAAACAGTTAAAAACTGTAAAAATCCGAAATATATTAGAAAATTTGAGATGGACGAACTACTTAAAAAAAAGAAAAAAAAAAAAACAAGAAAAAAGATAGGGTAAATGCACCAGTTGTTAACCGGTCACCAATTAGTTGACCGATGTATAAAAAAGTTAATTAATTAATATTTTACAAGGATTTTTTTTTCTTAAAGTCTTAAAATAAAAATATATGGCATTTAATCATCATAATAAAAAATTACGCAATTAATTGCGAAGTGATTATAGCTTTAAAAAAATATTCTGAGTTTGTTTACAACGCAACCAGCCATAAAGCGGTCAAAAATAACTAGCGTACAATTAGAGAGTGAGTGCATTTCATCATTAATTTAGTGATATTTATCGGTATAATATAAAATATTTTAGTTTTATTATGTTAATTAAAGATCAGATTCCAACTTTTTCTAAAAAAATAAAGTTAAATTATAAGTTTTAATATTATTTTAAGATCGGTCAACTATTGTATTGGTCAGAAGCCCTTTACCCAGTAAAAAATTCATTCGGTTATTTATTAGACCCTCTGATTTTATCACAATCCAATTAATGACCGTATATTTATAATACTAACTTCTTAATCTCAAAATTAAATCTGTCAAGTGTTTAAAGTACTTGAGTCATTCAATATTTTGTAAATATAAAAATAATCATGATAAAATGTATATTTATAATTAAAATAATACTTAAAATCTTTTTTAATTATTAAATTTTATTTTGTTCTAATATTTTTAGTGAACGTTTATATCAAAGAACGAATTATTAGAAGAAAAAATTGCTAAGCAATTGAAAATATAAAAAAGAGTTACAAGCTAGTAAAAAAGCTTTAATTTAAAAAAAGAAGAAGAAGAATAAAAAAATTTCAAGTGAATCAGAAGAATTATCGTCATCAAAATCAATTTGTGATTATTTGTGAACTAAAGAAATGTAACTTTATGTTAATTATCACTATTATTTATATTATTTTATAAAAAAGTACGATTTAAAAATATATTGTATGTTTCGTTTTGTTAAAGATGTTGT